ACCACGAAGACAAAAATGTCGAAGTCATGGATTGTACGTAAAGATCAATCTGGCTAAAGTCAGGATTCAGCAAAGTCCAAGGACTAAGTTATGGACGTGTACCATTTACCGCCCTTTCTGAGGGAAGAACCCCCAGCTGGTTGCTGCTGTCTTGTGTCCAGGGCTTGTGCTCTTTACCTGGCCTGGTGCAGAGGGGACACAACGCAAACAGCCACCCAAGATGCTGTACGTGACATGCGTAGCCCAGGTTCCTGGCCAGGAACGTGTCAAGGGCGTGCTCCGGTGGGCGTGTTTTGGCCACCTGACGAGCTCCAAGTCTACACTCCTGGGAATTCTGGCTGGTAACATGTTTGAAAACAGATCTCAACATTTTTCTTGCTTGTGCTGATGGCTCTCTGACTCCACTGGATTCTCTTCCTCAACGCTCATCAACAGGCAACGCCTTTGTTTGCAAACAACACAGAATCCAATGATAGAAATCTTGATCGAGCTGGAGCGAAGAGAAGCAGTTCCTAGAGCAGTTCCTGTGTGTCTCCTGGAACTCAGCCACGAGGACGTGGTTGGACCCCAAGGAAAGTCAGCTGGAATTGAGGACTGGCGTGCCCTCAGGACACTCTCCCTGGCTCCTGTCCATACTCCAGTCTTTCTTCTCTGGCAGCCGGCTTCGCCATTTTCCCAGCTCACATGGTTCACGGTGGTCAACCCCAAGAGCTCCCGAGTTTGCTCGCTCTCGGTCTGATTTCCAAAATCCCAAAGGAAGAGCCCAGCGTGCCTGGGTCGGTGCCCGTCCTCGGAACAAAAGTTGTGATCACAGGCAGCCCGGTGGGGACATCTTAGCTGTGTAAAGACCACTTTCATCGCAGGTTTTTAAAAAGACATTTCTTTGTAAGAAACCAGTGGAAAACCGTTCAGAAGAGAGTAGAAGGCAAGCTGTCACTGGCTTCTGGTTTTTTCTTTTATTCCTCACTCAGCCAGTGACTTCCATGTCAGTATCTCCCTATGTCATGAGGCGCACGGGTAGACTTTAGGAAATGAAAATTAGCCGCCCCCTCCCCCCCCCCCACACACACAGCAAACTAAGGGATATGGGCTTAACAACGTTATTTGTTTCAGTGTCTCTGGAGAAAGAACCAGAAAAGCCTTCTCTGGTTCCCAGGTGACATAGAGCTTCGTTTTCATGGCATCCCCATAATTGCCATTATAATTATTTGCTTAACCTCTTTCTCTTTTTCTCTCTCTCTTTCTTTCCCGAGACTGCAAAATTTATATAGACGGAACTCACGACAGCTTTATTTGCAGCTGGATTCTTTAGCGTCTAAAACAGCACCTGGACGGCAGACTAGGTGGTCAGTAAATACTGAATGAATGAGATGCACGAATGAACAATGCCAGTCTGTTTACCTGACTGCCCACTCCCTGGATGAAGGCGTTACCCCAAGGCCTCCTGGTAGACCTACCAGTTCGGCGACCAATAATCATAGGAACAGTGCTTTCATACCCTGACCCCGCCCTTTCTCTCTCTCGCTCTCTCCACCTTCTCAATTTATTATCAGGGCGGAGTCCTTCTTCTTTTCCACCTGTTCTTCAAATCCTCCCTTTCTTCTCCACTCCCACCACATGCCAGGGGATTTTCTTGCCTTCCTCATGGATCACGGACAGTCTTCAGACCAGCGCTGTCTCCCCCATCCGTGTTAGCATGAAATCGGTCCCCCTCAAACTGCAATGTTAGCACGTTAGTCTGCTGTTCAAAACACGCCCAGACTGCCTGTTTCTACAGGATGTCGTTCAAATACTTCATAGCATTTAAGGCCCTCTGTCCATGAATCCCCACCTCCCTTGCCAGTTCCATCTCTTACCAGCCCACGATAGGATCTCTTTTCTTAAAAAAAAAATTTTTTTTAATGTTTATTCATTTTTTAAGAGAGGCAGAGAGCGAGAGAGAAAGGGAGACACAGATCCGAAGCAGGCTCCAGGCTCCGAGCTGTCAGCACAGAGCCCCACGCGGGGCTCGAACTCACGAACCGTGAGATCATGACCTGAGCTGAAGTCGGATGCTTAACCGACTGAGCCACCCAGGCGCCCCAAGGATCTCTTTTCTTGAGCAAGCCAGTATTCCGGGGGACGCTACAAAAATGGTGGGGCTCAATGCAAAATGACAGTGTGGTGCCCTTGGCTCAAAAATGATGAAAATGTCATATGGCCACAGCACTGTGTTAAACCAAGCACAAGGGCCTGCTGAGTGTGGGGCTCTCGCAGCGTGGGTCATGTGCTCACGAAGCTGGCCTTGGTCAGGACGTGCTGTGTTTATCCTACATTCAAGTTTGTATGTGTGTTCTTTCCTTGGCCAGGAATGCCCTGTTTCAACCATCGTACCCACACAGTTCTCCCTTGAAAATGTTAAGGGTCCGGTTCTTCCATCCCGGGTAGCCTTCTGTGAATATTTATTCTTGAATCACCTGTTGCCCAACGCTTTATTTATCTAACTCGAGTGTGTGTGTGTCTTCTCTTTCCCGACTAGATTATTCATGCCTTTAAATACTTTGTATCATCATCTACAGATGCTTCTGCAGATAGCAAGGAACCTTTACTAATTACGTTGTACATATCACTAAATTACTTTGTTTCATCCTTGTCTACAGATATTTCAGCCAATAGCAAGGAACTGTTAAATACTCTTTGAGAGGCTAGCCTGGCAGATAGATGCATGAATGCGTAAATCCCCGGACTGGCCTGGTGATCCTGAAAATTTCTATAACTATTCTAGTTCACATTTCCCTCTACAGGGCCACTTTAGGACCCCCACATTTCTGACTTCTTAGAACCTGTACTCACTTGCTCCCCTTCCCTGCTCTCTGAACATAATGCTAAGAACTATTGCAAGAAAGAAATACTGTGATCTCATGGGGGAAAGTCTAGAGGTTAAGAAAAAGCTCCGAGGTCTGAACTTGGAGATGTACAAAGACCCTGATCAAAAACAGAGCCGAGTGGGGCGCCTGGGTGGCGCAGTCGGTTAAGCGTCCGACTTCCGCCAGGTCACGATCTCGCGCTCCGTGAGTTCGAGCCCCGCGTCAGGCTCTGGGCTGATGGCTCAGAGCCTGGAGCCTGTTTCCGATTCTGTGTCTCCCTCTCTCTCTGCCCCTCCCCCGTTCATGCTCTGTCTCTCTCTGTCCCAAAAATAAATAAACGTTGAAAAAAAAAAATAAAAAAAAAAAAAAAACGGAGCCGGGTGTCATGAAATGTTAGCACCTCAAGGATCCTCTGTGACCATCAGCTCATCTTTCTTGCTTTATTGAAGGAAGCAACTAAAGCTTGGAGGTTGAAGTGTCTTGACCAAGGTCACATAGTTATTTGGTGGGAGGACTGGGGCCTGGCCCCCTGAACTCTTATGTGACTTGCAGGGGACATCCCACTGATTTATCACAGCAGACAGAACTTGGAGTGACCTTCTAATCACCCCCCTTAGGTACTTGGCCTGTATGCAAAGCAGAGGTTGAATACAGAGGCAGGTGGTTTTTTAAAATACAGCTCATTGGGGTTTCCTGTGAAATTCTGGACTTTGGTTGTCTGTCACCCGATACGCAAATCATTTAAAGGATTTACGGTTAGGCATGGGGCATATCACACGTGCAGAACATGAAAAACGTATAGAGCAGCGATCGTGGGGTCTGATAGAAGGATCGTTCCTGTGGTTACCAAGGGGGGCTGGTTGCTAGGCAGGGGACAGAAGATTCGAATCGGAGCCATTGTCAGAAGGTGCTATAGAGCAGCGAGAACCCTCTGCCATCTGCTGACGTAAAAGGAGGCTTTCCTCCGCTGCTGTTGCTAAGGGATCTGGCCTTGGTCCTCGCTGGAATCGGAAGCTTTCCTGTGCTTTCCACCCCTCACTCCTTCCTTCCAAGTAGAATCACTCCATCCTAAGCAATATCTCTTAAAAGGTTTGAACCCCCCCCCCCTTTTTTTTAGATGGAACTCACAAAAATAAAAATTTAATTTGGAAAGGAGTTAGGGATGATCCAACCCAATGATTTTTCAAACTCTGCTCCCCAGGGCTCTGACATTTTGTGACAGGCTCTGCTTTTATCGTCTGCCCCTGTGCTATTTTTTTCCCCCTGCATGTAAGATGTCAGTTTTAAAAAATGGTTCTGGTGCTTTTTGGGGTTTTTTGTTTGTTTCTTAAAATTTGAAAGCACCAAATTCGAATTTAGTCTGTCCTTCCCTTCACGGGTAAGGAGGCTGGAACCCCAAAAGAGGAATTCCTTGGGTTATTAGCTTTGAAGTAAGGTGTTAGAAGAAGGCTTTTAGGCTCACTCCGCAAAGTCCTGGGGAGTTGCTTTCACCTTCCCCCATCAGGGCAGAGCCATTCCTGGAGGGATGTGGCACCTCGGAAGAAAGAGAGCACGAGGATTCTCTGGATGATGAATTATACGGTTGCAACAGCGAGCACACAGCTTTCACTCCCCATGCACCATTTTGGGGATAATTTTATAATTATTTCTCCCCTCCAAAACACTTGACTTGCTAAATGTAAAGTAAACATAAGTTATTTTAGGACTTTGATAAGTGTTTGAATACGAATTAATTCATGATTTAGAAAAAGACATCAACTACGACCGTGCTTGGAGGCTCGCAGAGGATATAGAGGCCGAGGGGAATTCGCTGAAAAACAAATGGAGGGTTTGGTAGGAACAGACGAACCGTCAGTGGGTATAGGACAGAAAATCGATCAAATACGGATAATAGGATGGTCTTAAGAAGGCAGAGTAACCATGGCAGCGAGGGAGAAGTAACAGGCTAGGATGATGCTCTCAAATGATGATTTATCGAGATGGAACAAATAGAAGGTTAGCACGCAGGTCCCAGCAACTCCTTTGTGATTCTTTGGATGATACAGTTTCTTGGGTCCATGGAGTATTCTAGATGGGAGACCATAAAAAAGATGGAACAATTGCTAAAGAGTTAAGAAGCACTAAGATACCTAGTATTGTTGTCTGCGGACAGTAATGTTGCCGGAAGCACTGGAAAGTCTCCTACACCCAATGGAGGCAAAAGCGGCCATTTTCCACCTTGAGGGAAAAACAGGAGAATTTCCGGGTTTCCGCTGGACCTGCCAGTTTTTGCCAGTGGAGCCCAAGCGGCCGAGTGGGTGGGTAGTGACCCTATTTGCTAGAGGAGGGTACGTAGCTCGGTCCAGCCCCCAGTTTTCTGCTTCCACGTGATGGAAACCATTGAGCAAGTAGATTCATTCTGAAATTCTTACGGCAAATCTTCCAATTGAAAATAAGTTTCATTTTGTTGCTTTTCTTTTTCTTTCTTTTACTTGCCTTTCTTGTTCATTCCTTCCTTCCCTCCTTCCTTCCCTCCCTCCCTCCTCCTTCCTTGCTTCTTTCCTCCCTCCTTCCCTCCCTCTCCTTCCTTCCCTCCCTCTGCTTC